GCGGGAGGAGGCTGGAGAGTGGGAGGAGGCTGGTGAGCGAGAGGAGGCTGGAGAGTGGGAGGAGGCTGGAGAACGGGAGGAGGCTGGAGAGCGGGAGGAGGCTGGAGAGTGGGAGGAGGCTGGAGAGCGGGAGGAGGCTGGAGAGCGGGAGGAGGCTGGAGAGTGGGAGGAGGCTGGTGAGCGAGAGGAGGCTGGAGAGTGGGAGGAGGCTGGAGAACGGGAGGAGGCTGGAGAGCGGGAGGGGGCTGGAGAGTGGCAGGAGACTGGAGAGCGGGAGGAGGCTGGAGAGTGGGAGGCTGGAGAGTGGGAGGAGGCTGGAGAGCGGGAGGAGGATGGAGAGCAGGAGACTGGAGAGCGGGAGGAGGCTGGAGAGTGGGAGGCTGGAGAGTGGGAGGAGGCTGGAGAGCGGGAGGAGGATGGAGAGCAGGAGACTGGAGAGCGGGAGGAGGCTGGAGAGTGGGAGGCTGGAGAGTGGGAGGAGGCTGGAGAGCGGGAGGAGGATGGAGAGCAGGAGACTGGAGAGCGGGAGGAGGCTGGAGAGTGGGAGGCTGGAGAGTGGGAGGAGGCTGGAGAGCGGGAGGAGGCTGGAGAGTGGGAGGAGGCTGGAGAGCGGGAGGAGGCTGGAGAGCGGGAGGAGGCTGGAGAGCGGGGCCGTAGTCCGGGGTCCTGGAGAGCACTCACCAGGCTTTCTTGCTTTCCTCTTCTGCGATGGATATCTTCTCCTTGGTCTGCATGTAGACGTCGTCGGTTGCCTGGATGACCATGCGACGCTGCGTGAAGCCCAGCGACGTGAGGCAGCTGCAGGGAGCAGACGAAGAGAACACGGTGTTAGTGAAGGGATGCTCATTCACGCACACACACACACGCACTCACGCATGCACGCACGCACACAAACGCACTCACACATGCACGCACGCACGCACAGACACGTACACACGCACAGACACGCACGCACGTACACACGCACAGTCACACACGCACGCACACGCACACGCACACGCACACGCACACGCACACACACACACATACACACAGGCACGCAGGCACGTAGTTACAACACAATGATGGCCTGATATCACTATAAGCTCCCCACACTGCCCCCAAAAGCACCGTGTCTGCATTCATCCACTGTGTCCTTAACTGCACCCCCCCACCCACCACCAGCCGATCCCAGACTGACCTAGATTTACCTGCGCAGGTACTATACATTAGGCAAGCATACACGCGGCAGTGATGCCGTCGTGATATGTGCAAATGTCAGCAAATTAGCTGCTAACACATTATAGGTGTGAACTCCAAGCTACAGCCACAGCTACAGCTACAGCTACAGCTACAGCTACAGCTACAGCTACAGCTACAGCTACAGCTACAGCTACAGCTACAGCTACAGCCACAGCTACAGCTACAGCCACAACTACAGCTACAGCTACAGCAACAGCCACCGCTACAGCAACAGCAACAGCTACAGACACAGCCACCGCTACAGCTACAGCTACAGCTACAGCAACAGCTACAGACACAGCTACAGTTACAGCTACAGCTACAGCTACAGCTACAGCTACAGCAACAGCCACAGCTACAGCTACAGCTACAGCTACAGTTACAGCAACAGCCACAGCTACAGCTACAGCCACAGCTACAGCCACAGCCACAACTACAGCTACAGCTACAGCTGCAGCCACAGCTACAGCCACAGTTACAGCGACAGCTACAGCTACAGTTACAGCTACAGCTACAGTTACAGCTACAGCTACAGTTACAGCTACAGCTACAGCTACAGCTACAGCCACAGCCACAGCTACAGTTACAGCTACAGCTACAGCTACAGCTACAGCCACAGCCACAGCTACAGTTACAGCTACAGCTACAGCTACAGCTACAGCTACAGCTACAGCTACAGTTACAGCTACAGCTACAGCTACAGCTACAGCTACAGCTACAGCTACAGCTACAGCTACAGCTACAGATACAGCTACAGCTACAGCTACAGCTACAGATACAGATACAGCTACAGCTACAGCTACAGCTACAGCTACAGATACAGATACAGCTACAGCTACAGCTACAG